TCCTTAATTAATATATTCAGGAGAGTGGTAAAGTTTTAAGCAGATTGTATTGAAATGCATCGCTCTGTATAGCTGCTTCGAGCATAAATTAAATTATATTGTTTAATCTTAATTGAAAAGCTTATGAAAAAAATATAACCTAAAAGCAATATGGCGTGCAAATTTAAACATATATTTATAAATACAGTTAAATAAATTATTCGATATTTTGTGAAAAAATTTTAAAGGGAATGAAGGCAACAGTTCTTGGCAGTCGTATGTTAATTCCTGCATATTAGAATAGATTTTCTGTTTAAGTCGTTTAAAAAGCTTTTTTCGATAACAGGGTGAAGACGCAAGAAGATTTCGCAAAAAACGTCCACTCATATTAGTAGGGTAAAATGTGCTGTACAGCCAACCAAACCCTTCGTAGAAAGAATGTTGAAAAATACGAAACAATCGAAGTGGATTGAATTTGCGGGCAACAGAGATAAAAAAAACAATGACTTTGTAATGCGATTGTACCAAACTGCGCTTCACGTAGCAGTACTAAATGAGCCACTGAACGACCGAAGATGTCTGAAAATATGCAGTATCCTGTTGGGCAAAGTGTACTCCGTGAGCTGATTTTCCTTAAATTCAATTTTCAGAAGCAGAACTGTCTGCGAATATGTAAATACGGATGGATATTCATTCCGTCCTCAGCAGGTGTTCTCGGGGATCTGATCTGTTAAACAGCCTTACTTGACTACGCTAAATGCAACATGGCTTTATTTGACAAGAGGATTTGTCATGTAATTCTGTTCGTTTCTTGTTAAATTTGTGTTCTGGGATATCACACAATGTCGCGTAGTTTTATTTTCTTTGATGTGATAGATCGTGTCATTTCCTGTGATCTGTGACGTTTTTCTTATCTTTCAGCATGTCTTGTTGAACGGTGATGCAATTCAAGCTATAAAATGCTGAAAATTATAATCATTATAGAGAAATGTACGAGGGCCACATTCAATAATTTGCGCTCCAAATTTGTCACCTGCTGCGGACAAGAATAAGAACCTCCTAAAATTCTATCATCTCTTATCTTGAGTAGTGCCAAGGGGCATGAACCTAAACGTCGTTTGCAGTGAACCCATCCTGCTGACAACACCATTTAAGGCGCTGTGTATCAATAATCCGCCGCGCTTTTTACTTTCGTCACCTTCACGTCTTTCACTTTATAGAACCTGCATATCACCGTATAATCAGTCTGGGATTTTTCAAAACATTCGTACGTTTTGTATTAATTGACTTGATTTCCTCAAAAAGTAAGCTGTATTCATAAATGCCATTCATAATTTACATTATCGAGTTGCCTATTTTATTTCATGCAAAAGTTTTTGTATAGCAGTCTTCTGAACGGAAAATATGCAGGCATTTGTGACCGGTTTTCTTGCTTCGTCTCACTTCTTCCATAGGCATTATATTTAGCGTCAGCAGTAGATCTTTCCTTTACGGGTATCTTTTCGGAAGACAATATGATGAGCCGTTTTTCATCTTGTGTTTTACACAAGCAGTAAAAGGTGGCTTAAAGTCGAACATGGTCGTCTAGTCGAAGATTAATTCCGCCTACGTGTAAGTGCTGTCTTATCTGGTATCTTCACTTCCGGTTCGTTTCTTGTTTCTGATCTGTGATTCAACTCTTGATTTTCAACTGACTTTCTGTTGCGCACTTAGTTTACGCAACTAGGCTTTTGCAGCCCATCGAATACCGTATAAATTTTTGATGCATTGTATTTAGCCACTTGTTTTTCATCAGATGCACGTAAACCGTAATTGAATTATGGCTTTTTCGACTGGAGAGTCTTAAGTGTTTCCATAGTCGGTTTTCATCATATTCTGATAATTAGCCGATTATTAATACCCTCCGTCTTAGGAAAGCATATTTTTTATGCGTTTCTGTGTTACTTAATAAATATTGGCTCTTGAACCATCGTTGAGCAGAGACTGTTTGAATATTTCGTCAGATGTCAAAGCCAGGCTGAAGTTCGCAAGCTGTCTGAAAGAAAAACGCCACAAACTAGCGCACCTGAAAATTTCAGGAAGTCATTTCCAAAATGTGATTTAAAGTGATAATTCGGTGTTTCCTGTGCTTACACCATTTCTAATGGTCCGAACATCATAAATCTGGCTTACAATGCTGTATAGGCTCTGTTAGCCTCAGATAGTGTTTTAATAGTACTGCTTATCCTAATATTGTTTCAGTATGTGCTATATTTTCTGTCTAATGCATGTATATTTTAATATTGTTAGGTAGTCTTCTGGTGAAGCCTGAGTAGTTATTTACTGGAATGGAGACAGCGCCTATTTTAAGAATGGTAAACTTTGTTAACATATGATCGATTACTGCTTATGCGATTTTTAAGGAAGCAGAGGACAGCGCGTCTAATATGGAATCGACCTCCCGTTTGCGGGACACGCTGCTTAAACTCAGTGATGAAAACGTCAAACTCAAGGTAATATATATGCAAAAGACGATATGCGACTAGATTTTTTCGATTTTTGGGATTGAAGTCTAATTCGCATGACAGAAAAGGGTTTAAGAAACATTCCTGCAATAAACTAGCATCAGCGTTTCCCGGTAAATCATTTTGACCTTTCTCTTTGATATGTATTTATGTGAGTTACAATATAGCAGAAAATACTGACAAACGTATTTATTTACTGTTTGCTTATATTGAAATACGAAACATGGTAATATTTTATGACACATGAATCAATTCGACTCTCGACATGTAATTCTCGTCTGCAATGGGTGGAAAGTTTCAAACCGTTATACAGTTGTTCGACTCAGTTGGTGCTTAAGACTGAGGCAGAGCTAATCGTATCTCCATAGAATGTGTGATCCTCATTCTCGACGCTATGAATGTCGCAGGATTGTGTGATTAATCCCTTAGTGGTGCCTCTGTTCAGCGATATTCTTCATTATTTTTTTCAAAATTCGTTCATTCTTCACTGATTCGTTCTGTTTAACGTGTTCTATGATCATCTGTTCCTTTCTCGTTTGAGATTCATTTCGGTCAGGGGAGGGGTGGAGGATTTATCTGTTACGCCTTTAAATAACATTGAATGACAATCTTTTTTCCGATCATGAAATGTTCTACTGTGCACCTCATCAACCTTTTATCGAATCTTGTTACTTTAAATTTTGTGTTGCTTTAGGCGATGCTCGATTTGTCGAACGATAAAATCAGGCATCTGCTGAAGAACCAGTCTCGCGTAGAATCTTTGGAGAAACTACTTGAAGAAAGTTAGTCCGCAGGTGGTGTTTGTGACTGTCATATTGTTCAATGTTACATGTCATTCAGGAGCAAATGAGGTTCATTCTTACAAGCAGCAGTTGTTGCGACTGCTTTCAACCAGGACCGAAGGCGTAGTCGCTGAAACTTCATCGTCGTCCGACCATATGTAAGACGTCTTTAGATTGAGCTGTCAAGTTTGGTCATTGACCCTCTCGTTTAGAAACGTTGATCTACACGCAACTGCCGCCAAACTTTTGCAAGACAACCTGAAACTTCGCAAAGAGTTGGTGGGCGTTACGCCGGATCGATCGGCTGACCGTTCGTTTGCTCACTGCAACCAATGTACTACGCTACGAAGGCAGAAGGACAGACAGGCGCTGGTAAGAACATAAGATCGTCGTAGTGTTCAGTTACTGGACGATCCTTATTACGACATGGTATGGCATTCACTGGTAAAAGAATAGACTGTTTCTTACAGAAGGTTCTGCTTATTGTTTTATGTCCTTTGCATTGTTTCTTCGAAACTGGCACATAATCTATTTTTTTGGATACGACATTCGACGTGGCAATGCACTGTTGTTAATTTTCTGAGTGATATGCCTTTTCCTCTTCTCGTCCGTTTACTACATTTTCCACTTGTTTCTGCTATTTTCTTAATTTAGTTGTTGCAGTGGATCATCGATGCACAACCCGTAGCGATTCACTCCATGAAGTGCGGGTCTCCGTTTAGTTCATCTCAAATTTTGCTGATTTTAAATCGGCTTTTCAGTACAGTCAGCTGTTTTGTCAGCATATCAAACTCTACATGTTGAAAGTCACTAGGCGAATATTTTGCAATAATGTGTAAATTGTTTCGGAACTACTTCCGATTTTCGCAAAAAATGTCACAATCAGCATAAAAACGCTTCTCGAGCCCCTGCCCTCGTGCTAAGGTTGAAAGCCAACAAAGCTGATCAAAACTTGTTCTATTGAGTTGAGCATTCCAGTTTTATGAAATAAATTATCGCAGCAACTGTTATTACCATCTTTT